GGTGTACTAACACCATCACATGAAAGATGCATAACTGGATAAACTGTTCATCACCAATTCCTTCTGAGGCTGAATCTGAGGCAACAACTAGACATTGACCTACATTTTCCTTGTCTTCGGTATCCATATCCATAGCATTGCTCTCATTAACTTTTCCCGATTGTCCTCTACCCTTGCAGTCCTCTATTGAAGCGATTTTATTAACGATCTCAATAATCATATCTACACCAGTACCTCTCAATGGGGAGACATGACGCAAAAGCTCCTCAACAGCATTTGCCAAAGGCACAATTCCATCATTCATTGCAAGTACATATTTCTTAGCAGTGAAAATATCAACCAGAAACCTTAAAGTTGAAGCTTCTCTGACTGCCTCTAGGCCCTTGGTGTTGAGACAAATAGCCCCAATACCATTAGGAACACATGTAAGAGCTTTCGAAGAAGGCAGAATTCCAGCTTTCACCGACTCTAGAAACGCGTCAGGAAGACCCAATTCCTCCAACACACCATAACAAGTGGGGTCTTTATGAATCATTTCACTCATAACAGTAACAGCTGCAGAATATATATCACCTCCAAACTTATCCACATTCTCAAAGATCATTGAGAGAGTGGCAGGCAAAGAAACATCATGAACACCCTGAGGTCTTGTTGAATTTGATGGAGCATAAGTAGCAGAACCAAGTGCCTTCAACAAAACCCTGATGAGCCGGTTCTGTGAATAAAGCCAATCAACATTAGTGCTTGAGGACTCCCCAATGCTCATTGAACTATCATTACTTATTTCTGAACCAATCACCCTAACTACTTCTATCTGCAGTCTGTTGGTTAAAAGCTCTACTCCTCCCAAGTCTTTAAAGAGAGTGACGGCTGAATTGCTGTAGTCCATCAGCTTTTGCAGAGTCTTCACTGCTAAACAGACAAGATGCATATGTGAAGGATCTGAGTCCTCTAAAAGAGGTAAAAATGTTGGGACCATTCCCGATCCCCGTATAACACTCCCAGAACTTGATGTGGATATCACATGAAGCAAATAGAACTGGAGAAGTGCTTCAACAAAAGCAATAGATGATGGGTCGCTGGAGTTATTTAAAGAAGAAATCGCCCTTTGCAGCACATTAAGGAGAATCATGCGATTCCCCCCAGCAAAGCTAATGCTTGACCCACTCAAAATGCGTGCCCTCTCATGAGATGATGAATATGCCGCTAGTTGGGATCCAAGAGCATGCATTGCAAGTGTACGAATTGTTCCAGGTATAGTGTCTTCAGATTTCACTAGTCTTATTAACTCGTTTGTATATTCTGGCTCATTAGCAAAAAAAGACACCAGTTCATCATGAGAATCACTTGATTGAACAAGGACGATGAAGGCAAGAAGGCATATCTTGCTGTACAGCCTGCATATTCTAGAAGATCGGAAGGCATGAGCATATCTAACCCTACTCAGCAACGAGAACCTATGCTCAGGAGGTATGATGTACTGCTCAATCAACATCTTCATCAAAGATATGTCATCCTCCTTATGCAAGTGAAGATTAGGAATGTGAATAATGCTCGTGCTGGTAGAAGTGATCATGTCACCACSATCACCTGTACTTGGGKTATTTGTACCATGCAACTCAAAGTAGAGGGTAGAACCCACACGGTTCTGAGAATTGTCACTTTCAGTTTGTACATCTGATGGGAACAAGCTTAGACCTTCATCTTGGGTTCTTTCATTTAACATAACACATGAATACAGGCCCAAACCCTCTTCCTTGCTTCCCCATCCTTGCGCTAATGACAAAAGACAATTGTTTATTGAACCACATCCTACCAGCTTCCCACTTGCATGAAGTTTTGAGGKATTTATTTTCACTAATGCTGAAAGAGTCTCCAAGGTTCCAATGAGAATATCAGGGTCTGTGGATGCAAGCAAGAGCTTGAAATGCTGAACAAACAAAGGTAACTTCAGAGGAGAATATATATAAAGGCATTCAAAAATATAACAGCACAAATATGCCTTCCAATAAAGAAACAGCAGATGTACAAATATAAAACAGCAGTATATAGATAGGCAGCATATCATATTATGAACCAAAATAATATTTCTTTACTCGACCATTTTCACCATACCTCTAAACCATCGAAGGAACTTTTGTTGTGACAATTTTCTAAAACTATTTGCATCACACGCAAGATGTGAAGAACCGATTGCTTAGGGAAAGGAGTATCATCTTCTAGAGTATCTGCCAAAAGTAGGTCCTTCCTGCTAGACAAGTATGTCTTGAAGTATGTATCAAAATGCAGAAACAGCGGCCTCCAATGATGAAAATTTCCCTGAAAAAATGGAAAAGGTAAGCAAACTACAAGATGTAAATTAATTCAAAAGATGGCACAAGGTATTATCTTTATCACCTTGCCGTACTCCCAGTGAAAACCAGAGAGAGGGATTGCTATGTCTTGCAATGGACACTGAATCACCTTGTTTATGAATGTTTTCACTTTTGGGGGCTGCAAAAAGAACAATGGCAAAGATTAATGTAGTTAAGACAAATAGAAAAACATATAAGCAAATCAATAATTATTCTTGATCCCTTTTTACACATTACGAGAATAGAACAATATCCCCAAGTCATAAACATGAAAAATGTAGGTGACAGAATCATCCTTGTGAAATGGAAGGCACCCGGCACCCACAATATTTTCTCTACCTTCCTAATTGGTTAACATTTACCAGTTTTTATAATTTTCTTGTACTCAATGCACTAAATTATGTCAGCCATTAACTACAGACTCTATCCCTTGAAAAATATGAAGTTATATCTGAAGTATAAAGTTCAAGAAAGTGCCATGATGCAGGTATACTTGGTTTTTAACATGCAATCATCACTATTATATGAGACTATAAAGTTGCACCCTAGAAGAGAAAAAGATGTATTAACCTTTAAAACATCTCGTCTGTTAGAGGCATGCAACAACACATGAATCTCATATTATCTAGGTTATATCTTCACATTATCTTGTATTATCTCTCCAAATTCTAAGTTTCTAACTTGGCATTGGAGGTTCACCACTTGGGACAAGCCTTTCACCACCTCCTGATAAGAACTATTGATTAATGAACTAAGAGGAGAGACATAATAGAAAACGCACTGGAATGCCATGTGCCTGATTGTATGGCATTGTTATAATTCTCTTAATTGTCCATTGAGACGTTTCTAAAATAATTGATAATCTGCTCTAAGAGTTGATTGAACAAGCTTTTATACAGGGCTGCACTTTCTGTGAGCCAATCACCTATCTAATACCCTGCTAATAAAATTGCCTTCTCCTAACATATCCCATTGTGAGCCCCATATAATCATATAGGAGTGTTAGAGTGAAAGCAAACGAAAATGTTTCATGTTTCTCTTTATGTTGTTCTATCTAGTTCGGGATGACACCTGTGTCAATTGTGGAACTATATTATATATTCATGCTCATGGAATAAAAGAATGGCTCCTAAAATTTGTTGTGCTTTATCTGCACATCAACATTTCAAATCAAAGAACCCATTCTGTGTTCAGTGAATCATCATCTTATGCTACAAAATTGAACAATACATGGACCACAGAACATAATAGAATTAGGTAAGAAGTGGGGTAACAAATATGTAGCTTTTATGATATAAAGAAGATAAACGAAAGAAGAATACAGGATGACAAAATCAATTGACATATTTGAAGCATCAACTTAAGGGAGAAGGGTAGGAAAAGCACATAGAAGCCTGAAACCTACTTCAAGCACATAAATCCCATGTGTGTCTTCCAATAGTACATAAACAGGGTCATGTAACATACATGTAAAACATTTACAGCCATGCTATTTGAAGTTGTGATATGAACTCATAATGCCTTCAAAATGCTACTTTGCCTTCAGATAAACTAAGAAGCAATGGCATCATAGAAGTTTAAAAAAGACAATTCCTTTTAAATAGCTAATGAGTTGGCAAGGCAGCAGCAAATTAACAAGCTGGTACTAAATTTGAAAAGTATCTCCAGGACGTAATAATGTTCTTCTATATCATATAATATGTTTCACCACCACTGTGATTGCAAATCAATTAATAATCAATGACAATATAAGGAGCTATACATTCAATTTATATATCACTCAACAAGTTACTTTTCAACTTCCAGATTGATATATGGATTTAAAACTTCCAGGGAAGAAAAATAATAATATAACTCCAATAGCATTTGCAAGAAAAGCCATATCTAAATTACATTTGACAAGTACTAGATATCATATCAAAAATCGAATTGTTGATTTTTTTAATGGATGAGGCTAACAACTAKAACCCCTASAAAAGTGCGGATCCAGTTTAACTCCAAACCGTACATGAACATACACGAGTGCTACATGTACCAAGRAAAACCCTTCTAATCATGCTATTCAAATCGTAGAATACACTGATTACACGTCAATTAATTAACCAATAACATAAAAACTTGGAAACAAACAAAATGTAGCCCTATCTTCAATTAATAGACCAAATTTTAACACCAAAAAACATGAAACCCCCAATAAAACCACGCATAAACACTTCACGAAGGCGAAGAATTACTGAAAGGGCGCAAAATTTCTTACAGTCTCAGAGTCAAGTTTAACATTCGGACCGATAGGTCCTTCACCGGATAAAAGTTGCCGTAACCTCGACGGCAAGCTCGATCTTAGGGTACCCGCCATAAGATTTCACAGCCACTCCTCTTCTACTCCTCTACACTCCTTTATACTGCAACACGAACACAAAAGACATCAATTTCTAATCAAACAAATCCTAGATAATCGATTAAATCATAAAAAAATATAGAAAAACAAAGAGGGTCGTAAAGATTGACCTGGTTGTGTAGAGATAAACAAGGGATTCATAAACATCAAAGTAAATTGAAAATCAAGAAAGAGAGTAAAGGGTTTATGTGTACGAGAATGAGGCCCAAAGCCCAGAGAGTAGAGAAAAAGGGTTCTCGTTTGTGTGTGTTTTGGTTAACCCTCAGAATCGGAGAAGAGAGCTGCTTTTATACAGAAGGGTAGTCCTCTCCCTCTTTCTACACTCGATGTAAAATTGAAGGCGATTTTTGCACTCCGGTCCATGAAATGAGTCTTTTCATTCGTCTGAAATTACACAAATAGTCCTTATACTTATGGTTAAAGTACATTGATCGTCCCTAATGGTTAAAAACTCTTGTTTAAGTCCTCATGTTGACTCCCTCATTTAAATTTAATCCCTTCGTCACATTTTTGTTGCTTTTTAGGACTAACTTGGTTATGACATAATAAGCATTTATCGTTACATTATGTTTCTCGCATTCAATGCATAACTTAGACATTAAAGAATATCTAGAATGACAATTCGAAAATCAGTTCAATTCTTCATATGTTTCTTTCTTTTAAAGAAAGTACACTTTAATATGTTTTAACTGTAGATATTCACTCGTGTATTTTTTTTTTCTCTTTTCTCTCGTTCCCGTTATCTCTTTTTATTTTTCCTCTTTAAGACATTTATACACTTAAGGGTCAGTTGTGCAATGGCTTGGGGAAGTAATTGCCAAAAAGGGCAACACTTCAAACATCTCCCTCTATTACCATCTAATCGTCTATCAAGAACATGCACATATCAAGGTATAGAGGGTAAGTGAGAAGATGATTGATGATAGTTGATGGAGATCAAGGTAAGGAACCGAAGAGACTGGATGTTGAATACTTGTTCTTATGTTTTCGAAATTTTCCCACTGTTTCGCTTTTTTATGTCTACACTTCATCGTCATAATATCATGTTCAGAAGTAAGTCACCCTTGCCTAGTTTGTACAAATACATGTATGTTTATGTTTATTATATATGGAAATATGTGCATAATCACAAGCTAATTGTCACCTCTTTAAGAACTTATCTATGATTTACAATATCGGTGTTCAAATAATTAGTGTAGATCAAAGATTTTGGCTAATACATAAATCAACAAAGATAAAAAAAATTTAATGTGGGTTTGAAGTATGGATTACCATAGGCTACTATTAAATTGTTTCCAAGAATAATCTAACTTCATCATGTCATCATACATGTTGATTGTTAGAGCTTGAATTCATTTTAAAGAATATGATGAGTTACCATGTTTATAATTTCATAACATAAAGTCGGTGAGTTTAAAGAGAAACATTTTTAGATGGAAGTGTAGAAGTATAATCCAATTATTGGAAAATGGATGCATAAAGAAAGCTACAAAAATGGAGTGTACATGTGGTTTGAGAATATAATAATGATATTTGCCTAGTCATTTTAGGTTTGTGAAGATCCTAGAAACATTACCGGATATATACACACACATATATATATATAGGCGAATGATCATTTGAGAAAGAGTTAAGGTAAGAAGCATAAGAAGGGATATTGACCATTAATCACGTTTACACTCAAACACATCCATGAATCACGCTTGATGCGGGGATTGATCCAATACATCTCGGTGCATCTCATCATAATATACATCCAAGAGTGGAGATCCCTTGAGAGTCCACAAAATGATCAATCTTCATATAATCTCTATGAATTTATAGCAGAATCAAATATTCAATAAGAACACTTGGAAGGAGATTGAGAGAAATGTCAACAAGTCAAACCTTCAATATATGAGCATATTGTTACAAATGAGCTCCTCTACAATTACACTAAAGACAAAACCTTTATATAGGGTCAAAGTAAAACCCTTCTAGTCAAAGTCAAACATCACATACAAAGTCAAACACGATGTCTTAACAATTATAGACAATATTATTTTTCAAAACGAATACAATTTAATACAGAAATTCAAACCCAACATACTCCCCCTTTGTATTCAGGCTTGAAAGAATTTGCGCACTTTGAATCTCGTTTGAACTTTGTCTCTTTAAGCACTTTATGACTTCTTCAAAAACTTCAAAACTAACTTTGCTTTAAAATCTTCAAATGATCTTTTGTTGAGAAAATCTTCTAATATTCTCCCTCTCGAATGTAGAACAACAACGATCTTCTCTTTTGACAATGAAGAACAAAATCAGCAACAAACTTCAGAAATGGTCTTCAAGATATGAACTTCAAGAAATCTTCTTCAGAAAATAGAATCTAACATTCTCCCCAAAAACGAATTTCTTCATAAAAGAATTCACAAACATTCTCTTCTCATTGAGAAATCTCTATTAGTAAACTTTTGTAAGGATGATCTTCACATTTAAAAAATCTCAGACATTGTAGTACATGAATAATCTCCAGTTACACTCCTTTGAGTCTTTTGCCGACTTTTGATGTTACTCCCCCTTGATCTTTATAACATACTCCCCTTATAACATTCAGAATCGATCATTTTATTCAATATTACATACTCCCCCTTATGATGAAATGAGAATCATTAGCATCATACATCAAAATGAATGAAATCTTTAGCGAAAGTCGTCAATTCATAAAATTGTAAGTAGATCTTTTCAAATCCACTTGTATAATCTTTTCAGATTAAGAGGATGGGAAGGTAACAACCAATTTCAACTTATGAAATTGTTTTCAATCTTATAAAAAGATTGGTCTGTGAATATAACAAATATACTCAGTACAACTGATGTACTTCATATATGAGACTTTATGAGGTTCATCTCACCAGGTCTTCCATTCAATCATCGATATCTTATAAAAAGTATATCTATGAATGTTTCGGCAAAATAACATATAAATTGCAAAATCTGTGTAGTGTAAAAAAATAAAGCAACATATGCTTCTGTTTAGGCTCAAAAAGATAAACCGTGCGGACTACACAAATTTATCAGACTCAATACGTAATAAAAAAGACTTGAAGGGGGGCATATATCCTTCTGATTCAATATCAACTTTCTTCAAATAAGAAATTGATAGATTGTGAGTTGCGTGGCCCAAGTGTTATTAAAACACTTATCTATTGAAAGATAAATGAGTAGCTGGTGGGGTTGTGACAAGAATTGGTTTGGGCTTTGCCTTTTATAATATTAGTCTCGAAAGAATTAAGAACTAATAGATTACGTGGTATGCCAGGAATTTAGAGGTTTAGCACGGGTCCAAAACTGAGTGTTTAGAAACCATAATTCATTTTAGCGCGGGTCCTGAACAGATGTATTTAGAAGCCTTTGTTTGAACAGTATACAACTCCCCCTAAATTTGTGCATCATATGTATGAATCTCTGACCAGCACTGTAATGACGCACCTGCAAAAATAAATCAAATAGATTTTGGTACCCAAACGAGCTTGGGTCCTTCTTTGTTAGCATCAGGTTGTGGGATACTGTAACTTTCAAACCATCTATTTTTATTAGATGTTTTCTTTTTCACACTTTTAATAGGATGATCATATACACAATAAGATCCATACCAGTTATTATTATCATACATGTTATTACCTTTCCAACTCTTCTGAAATCTGTTGTCTCCAGTCCAGCTATTGTACCTTTTCCGGTTGACAAAATTGGTTTTCTTGCATGTGGAGCACATGATTCTTCTCTTGCTAAGATTAATCAGATCAGTAGTAGATCTCACAAAACAAGGAAGATTATTATTAGTAACAACAGAGTTTTGAGATGAAACATATTCAGATTTATTAACCCAAATACTTTTAACTTTTGAAGAATGATAATTGGGTGATCCAATGACGTACCATTGATAGTACTTATTAGAAGAACGAGAATAGTTCTTAGAAACAGTAGATTTAAGGCTGTTAGAATAACTGTTAGATTTAGAACAGTCATAAAAGCTGGTTTTACACTGTGAAGGAGAACCAGTTGAGCTTTGAGCACAAGAAAAGTCTTTAACTTTCTTTAAAAGCTGGTATCATTCATCAGCAACTAAATCATACTTCTTTTTAAGTTCAATTCTCATTTTCAGTTCAATTTCAAGTTCTGTCTTCAGATCAGACAATTTCTTTGTAGTATCCAGGAGTTTACCTTCTAACTCCTTCTTCAGCTTCTCAAATTTCTTTTTCTCATTATCAAGCTCTCTTCTCTCTTCATCTGAGCTGCTTTTTTCATTCTCAGAAGCAATGTCGAGCCATTTTTTCTTTTCTGCAAGCTCTTTAGCAATTGCTGCATATTTCTTAGCAATATTTCGCTTTTCAAGAGCAAATAGCTTCTTCTCTTCATCTAAAGTTTTCTGCTTTTGAGCAATGCAGTCAGACAGTTTCTGATTCTGGCTCAGACATTCTTCTCTGATTTATTTCTTTTCTTTGTCACTCTTGGCTCGTTCCAAGATTATTAGCTGCTCAAAATCAGAGATTTTTAATTCTAATAAAGTTGATTTAGATTTCTTATTTGAACACTTTCATCAAGAATATTTTGAAAATAAATCTAATCAGTCTAATGTTTTGTCCAGGGAAAATTCAACTGAACAACAGTTATCGGGTCCATCTCCTGATGTGCCGGTAAATGAAACAGAAGAGGAAACGGAAGTAGTCAATAAAGAAATAGAAATGGAAAATCCAAACAATCCCGTTCAGTGTGAAGAGGGTGAAACTTCTGAAGTGCAAGAGGTGTTAGTCGAACAAGTTGATAATAATCCATCTCAATCAGATATTCAACCTATACTAGTTCCTAATATTGAATCTTCACCTGAACCTACTCCTATAAACTCCCCAAGTACTTATACTGATCAAAATTCAAATCAAAGTTCTTATACTCCCCTACCTCATAGCAAGAAGTGGACCTGAAATCATCCAAAACATCAAGTAATTGGTGATCTAGCAGCACCCATTCGTACACGGTCTGCGACAACTAATGAGTGTCTTTATTCCACATTCTTGAGTACTATTGAGCCGACTAAGGTTTCTGAAGCCTTAGCTGATCCAAATTGGATATTGGCAATGCAAGAAGAGCTGAACCAGTTCGAAGCACTCAAAGTCTGGAGATTGGTACCTTGTCCCAACAATAAGACGATTATCGGTACTAAATGGGTATTCAAAAATAAAAAAGATGAAGATGGTGTTGTGGTCAGAAATAAGGCTCGGCTCGTTGCTAAAGGATATAATCAACAAGAAGGCGTTGAC